GATAGCTACCAGTTGTGCTCAGAAGAGCCTCACAGTATGCCACTGCCTCCCAAACCCATTGATAATCAAGTGTGATAGTTGACCAAAGCTGCATGATTTCAGCTTGTCTGGAGACCCTTTAATGAATCAGACTACTTTGCATTGGAAAAATACATCTAAGCTGTCGGGAAGCAAACCTGTGCCATCTATTTTCTCTTTTAACTATCTTTGACCAATTTTACTAAGAAAATACCTTTGTGCTTACACCAGTAACTGTAATATTAGGGAGGCTAAAGCAGGACGATTGTGAGTTTAAGACCAGGCTAGTCTTGGAGAGATGGCTCAGCAATTAAGAGCACTAAGTGCTCTTCCAGAGGTTCTGAGTTCAATTCCCAGCAACCACATGGTGGCTTACAACCATCTGTAATGGGATCCGATGCCCTCTTCTGGTGTGTCTGAAGAGAGCGACAGTGTACTCACGATAGATAAATAAATAAATAAATACCAGGCTAGTCTACATGGCAAGATCAAAACAACAACAAAAACAGAATACTTTTTGCTAGTCAGGTGTGGCGTGCTCCCAGTTACACTAGAACAACTGCAGCCTGGGTAGAACATTTGTAAGACTTTCTTTATGTTGAACTTTATGGAGGACTGTTGTCACTCAGGGAAGCACACCAGTTCAGGTGACAGCAGAAATCAGTTCTCCCATCTGACTTTCCTCGGGTTGTGTACTTTTTGGACAGAACACCCTCCCTTGTTTAACTGTGCCTTGCCCATTCTGATTCTGAGTGGGGTGGGCTCCTGATAGCCGTGTTCTGGATTTCTTTCTCAGCTGAACACTGAGGGGGTAGACTACGCTTTGGTCTCATTTAAGGCACCATCCTCCTAATGCTTTCAGAAGAGGATCCTTATGTAAGCCACACCAAGATGACTAGGACGTCGACTTCAAAGGTGTGAGTCCCTTAGGTGGTAGAGGGAAGGCCATGAGAGGCAGGGAACTGGTATGTTTTTTAGCCATTATCCACATAAAGGTATGTCTTATATTTTAAAAGGAACCTTACAGAGCAGCACACATGGAGTCTACTTTTCATAGTGATGCAACCTCTAGACTAGAGACCACGACCGCCGATCCTCTTCCCAGGGCTGCTAGTCATTGCATTCAAGGGCAGAATAGATCCTTGTCCCTGGAAATGTACAAGTATAAAGTTTTTCCTTTCCATAATATTAATGGAATGTTTATAAATTCTAAAATTAATCTTGGAATATTACCTCACTTTTCTGGAAAAAATCTTTAAGCAGCTTTAACGTTAGAAACATGGCCTCAAATCTGAGATAACAAAAGAACAGCCGGTCAAGTGCAAAGTAAGACAGAGTCCAGAGTGACTGAACTGCTTGCTGTTTTGCCGGTGCTGGCTTGGTGTTCCTACTTCACTCACACAGCACAGTGACTGAAAGTGTTTGTGACATCCAGACAACCCCACATTCAACTACAGGCAGCAAGGAAACACAAGAAAGCATCCTCACTCAGTTGACAGGAGCTCAGGTGCCTGACAGGGAGGAATATTTTAAATGAGGCACTGCTTGCCACAGAGCAGCTTGCTGTCTTAAACCGTCCCATGTGGAGGTGCCAGGTTATAGGTAAGAGTGGTCACATGTTCTCACATTTGAATGTTAAGTATATAAATGTTCAACACACCGTAAACAAGAATTCAGGTAAACAGTAGTAAAGAAATGAACAGCCTTGAGTTTCAGGTTGCTTTAGACAGTGTAAAAGTAGAGTCTGTGACCGTTGTAACTAAAACTGAGGTTTTAGTTGAAGTCAGAACAGATCAGAGAGCCACAGAACTTACATGAAATCTAAATGAGTTGTAAGAAGCAAAGCCACACCCTCCTAGAGGAAATTACCTGGAAGGACAGGAACAAGAGCAAGTACATCCTGTGTCAGCAAGAGGGCTCACAACTGAAGGTGCCCAGACCGACCATGGCAGTTGGGTTGGTATGTGGGATTCCTTTTTGGAGACCTTGCCAAGCAAGGGAGACATAAAGTCTAGTGATACACAATTCTCTTGTACTCAGCATCAAGGACATAGCAATTATTAATAAGATTCTATTAAATCAGATAAGAGTTTTTGTTAAGGATGAAATGAGAATTTACTGAAGACTTGAGAGGTGATAAGTAATGAAAGTGGTTTCAAAACTGTCTAATGTATGTGCTTAGCAGATTAAAGGAGAAAGATGGGCTTCCGGGATTAAAGCTCAGGTTATCTTGGTAATCTAGAGAGTGCTAAGAACCTGGAGACTCAGTTAAAGGAACTCAGCATGAACCTCAAAACACTGTGTTGAATGAGAGAAGACACATACATACATCCATAACTGTAGACATACATGTAGACACAGACACACATTCACACTCGCATACATGTGCACACACATACATTGTTTTTTATTCTATCTCTATGAAATAGCCTTATAGGGACAGAAAGTAGATTACTGGTTCCTAGGACTTGGGAGAAGTAAAAAGGCAGTGGAGACTTAACTACTATATATGAGCACTAGAAGGGGAGCTGAGAAAGTTCTAGAATTGTTTGTAGTAAGGTATATAACTCTATAAATAAACCAAGGTTTAAATTTAAATGGCTGAATTTTGTGGTGATGGGTTATATCTTAATATAGCTGTTATTTCAAAAATGGGAGAGGGAATCAGTAAGATATGATAAATGACAGATAGGGTATCAATGTTTGATGGAAATAAATCACTCATAGCAACTGCATAATTTCCAGCTTGGCTGTCAATGAAACAGCAAGAATTGGTACTAATACTATTATTACTTTAAATTTATGTTTTCAGGATACTCCAAAGAATCATAGAAATATGACTATCATCAATGAAAATTCAGTAGCATGATTCTCTGTCACTGGACACAAATATCCTAATCTGGCAACAGCTAAAATAATATTAAATTTTTAAGCTTGATACAGCCTAAAGGTAAAAAGAAGTGGCTTCTGAGAGGATAAACTGATTTTTATTTGTTATAAAAAGTGAAACGTTAGTAACATGGAGGTTGGTGGCGGGGGGGGGGGTACTGTGATAGGGAGACTAGATATTGCAAATTAATTTCTAAAAGATCATTCGTTTCCCCAAGTAGAGATAAATATATATCACTGTCCGTATCAAGTTAGTGAAATGCTTTAGGAGCCTTCAGAATGTTAATACTTTTGTACTGATGAATTCTAGATAGAGAAAAAACCTAGGTCCTGCTGCTCAGTCTGTTTTAAGTCCTGGATGAAAACATATGTCTCCCTCCAGGTCTTCTCATGACTGTACTCACCTGGTTTTCAGACCATCCTAAAGCCTTGAGCCTCTCTTTAAATGGGTCATTAATCGTGATTGCTTAAGGAAGAGAAAGGAAACCAAACTCAACAGGATTGCTGCTGCAGTGTAGAAACAGTGCCCTGAAGTGTGGGGAAGAGCTTGGTGGTTTGATATTCCCTAGACAGCGTGTATTAGATTTTGGCGTTAGGTGTGTGCCTTACTGGGGTTATTGGAGTTAATGGTCCCTGAGAGAACAGAATTGAAAGAGGTCTAGTGTACTTACTGCTTTCTCTAGGTTGTGGAGGGAAGTGAGGTGACCTCATGCTGGCCTAGCTCAGAAAACAGCCTCTGTAATTTCTACATCCCTATTAGGAAAAGATTCATCCCTGAAAAGCAGTAAACTTGATTTTATATTCACTTTTTGTATTTTAGTGTAAAATAATGTACATTTACTACTGTATAAAAGCAAAGATGTACAAAGCAGCAACCTGGCATCTCTGACTTGTTCCTCTCCCCTGAGTTAACCACAGCTGGAAGTGTTAGTATCATAGTATTGTTCCTAAGGCTTAAAATCCTTCTTTATTTCCATCTCTAGTGTAGCCTCATTTTTTTTAATAAAGGATAGATTACATTCCTTGAAATCTTACTATATCTCCCTTAGGTGTTAGTTGGCGGTAAAATTGTCATTTTTAACTAGGTACTTATTAGGGGGAAAAAAGGTATCCAGGTAGCTATTGTTAGTTATTTATGGCAGTCTCTAAGTTAATTTCATCTTTTTCCTGATACCAAAGTCAACCTGTATAAACAGGCATTAACAGTACAGAAATAAAAGAGCAGACTCATTCTTATTGCTGTGTGAGGTGCTTGAAGCCCACCAACAGTAGTTAAGTACAGTAGTAATAGTGTAGTTAATAGTAGTTAAGTGACTGCCGTGACCTCAGCACACACAGTGACTGTGGAGAGGGCTCCAGGCAGACCCATGGCCCACAGTGGATCAGCAGTCTTGTGGATGTCCCCTGCCTTGTGGGAGGCATGCAGCAAGGCGCATCATCATGCTGGAATTCAGGCTCGTTTCGCCAGGTCATTTGTTTCTTCAAAAGTATACAAATATTTTTGTTTTGTGTTGTTCTTAATGTGAAAACCCCCATTTTAAAAATTTGCTCATTTAAAAAAAATAGGAAATGTAAAATTACAAACTGAAAATGGCCCTCAGAATCCCAGGTTACACCGTTTTAAGTTAGTACATTTACCAGTAGCATAAGAAACCCATTTTTCCATATGTGTGGTGTGTTCCTGGAGGAGTAGAGATGAAATCATATTAATTAATCAGAAAGCTGTGCTGCTGACTTAATCACGTAGGCACTGTGCCTGTGTTTCCCTGCATGTCTTACAAACCTGCCTCCCTCCTCTTCTGCCACCCCTAACCCTGAACTTATTTCCTCAAGTGAGGCTCACCATGCTCCTCACCTCACTGCAAAACCAGAGGAACACAAAAGAAGCTCTGCGTCTTCTTTCTCAAGCTCCAGGGGATAAACCCGTTCTTTTGGAGCAAAATCCTAAGCCTTGTCTCCCTTGAGCTGCTGGGAAATGATAATTAGAGGTTTTCCTGTTGGGAAAGGAAAGGAGCCCTTTCCCTCCCTCCCCACATCTGCAAGGCTTTGTGTTCTCAACGCTGGGCCTCCTGGTCTTGTTTCTGTTTCTACAGGTGATAGAGGGAAAGCTGGCTCCATTCTTGGGCAAGGTCATTAAATTTGCCACCGCTCACGTCTACAGCTGCAATCTCTGTAGCCAGAAAGGGTTCATCTGTGAGATCTGTAACAATGGCGAGATCCTCTACCCATTCGAGGACATCTCAACAAGCAGGTACAGAATCCTTCGTTCTGTGGAAATGTATCTGAGAGTCACGTGTGCTCTTGTCTGGCCGGATCAGGATAGTGCTGAGCTAAGCATTGTGTCTCTCACACCTACTGGAAGTCAGGTTTCCCCTTGCTCTTGTACAGCAGTTTTTTCCCCTTGCTTCCTGTTTAGTTGGAATCCTCACTCTCTATGAAGAAGGAGGTAGCAGAGCTGGAAAGAGATGCTGCCTCCCTCTAGTTTATTACTAATGAAGTATGTGCTCAGATTCCATCTTAGAATGGAGAGCAGGGAGGAAGATGCCCACCCAGCTTGCCAGAGCAACAGGGAAAAGAAATGGGAAACGTCCCCCTCAGAGGGAGGCCAGGCCTAGACTGACTGCTAGATCTGCTACTCGAGGCCCTGATGGGGAGCACATTCTCCACAGACAACAGCAGAGATTGAAAGTTTGAAGGCCCTAAGAGAAAAAAGTAGGAGTTTATATGGGTTTAATTTTCTAACCAAAGTAATGTTTGGGCATCAACAGATCCCCCATTGATGGATGATTTTCCCTCTAACTTGGATCAAAATAGTAGAACTACAGCTTCTCTAAAATCACAAAATAATACATATCACTTTTCCTTTCATCCTTGAAACATAATAGAAATACTATGTGTATGTGTATGTGCACTGGCTTCTTTGGCCACGAATGTCATGGCTCATTTCTCCCCTGCAGAGCTCACTGACACTGTGGTTCAGAACACATGGTGAGGCATATAGCCAGGAGAAGCTAGGCATTCAGAACAGTGCTAACATGGTGAGCACTGACTCAGCCACTTTTTAAACCCAAAGACTATTTGTAAACATTGAAGAACTTGGATTAGCCTGTGCATAGAAGGACATGCAAATACACATGAGTCCAGATTCCAGTTACCTGAGTATGGGTCCTTTGTTTCTAGTATATAGATTAGATGCCTTTTGGGGATATACACTTTAACCTAAGAACTTCTGCACAAAGTTCACAGCATCAATATTTATAAAGTCATAAAAAAGAAACAACTTAATGCCTACCAATTGATGAAGAAACAAAATTTGGTGTGCGCCCCCAGTGAACTACTGTTTAGCCTTGAAACGGGATGTAGAATTGTTACATGTTGACAGATGCTGGATGCAAAAAAAGCCACATATTATGATTCCTTTATATGGAAATCCCCAAATAAGCAGATCCAGGGCACACTTGTTGCCTGGGGCTTAAGGGAAGGGGTAAAGACAGAGATCTCTAAGAACACAGGGTTTTTTATGATACAAATGTTGCAAGGTCTGGACTACAGTGATGGTCACATACGTAATCTTGTGGCACACTCATGAACTAGAGGCCTTGAGGGCCAAGCTTTATTGTACATATTGTGATAAAAATGAATACTGTGATTAAAAACTAAGATACCTCTACTGAGTAAGCCAATATGTTGTATCACAAAACAAATCTCAGTAAACTTAAGACTGGAAGTACATCACATGTGTTTTCTAGCACATGGAATTAAAAAAAAATCTACACTAGGAAGGGGCCTGGCAACCCATAAAATGTTTGGAAACTAGGCAATACACTTCTAAATTACTCCTGGGTTAAAGAAGCAATCACAAGAGAAATTTTGAAGTACTTTAAGTGAATGAGAGTGAAATCACAGAGATGTAAAGTAAAGCTTGTCTAGCCTGTGGCCTGTGGCCTACAGGCCACATAAGGCTATGTGAAACCAAGGGCAGCTGTGAGTGCAGCCCAGGGCAGAAGTGTACATTTTAAAACATTGTAAGATTTGTTTTTTTTTAAGTGTGTGATTCTCAAGCATGAACTTAGCAGATGCTAGTGTCATATCTCAGTGTCAGATACATGCGGCTTCATAGAGTTTGGAGTTCTAAACATCTGTGTTTGAAACGGGGAAAGAATCTGTCAGTAATTGAAACATACTTCAAGGAACTAAAGAAGAACAAAAAACCCCAAACCATCAGGAAGAAGAATATAGATTGAAATTCATAGAAATTCAAACAGACTTATAACAATTGAGAAAATGACTGATTTTAAAGCCTCCTGAGCAAAGGCTATGTGGCTTCATATGTAAATCTTCTTGAATCTTAAAAAAAAAAAAAATACTAGTACTTCACCTAAAAACAAAGGAGCTGATTCTTCAAAAAAAGAAATTGACTTGAAGGCACAACACACACACACACACACGCACACACGCATATCTTTAACACATACTGAATGAACTTCATGGAGAAATAAATGAGTCTATTGTAACAGAGATGTCACCTCTCTGTAAAGGACAGCTCCAGCACACAGAGACCCTGAGCAAGTGTGTTCCTAAACCAAACAGCACTACCTGTCTCAGGGGCTAACTGATGTCTGCAGAACACTTGCCAGACTACATAAGACTGCATGTACTGTTCAAGCGCATGTGGAACGTTCACAAGAGGTGACATTGTCAGGCATAAGACACCTGAACAAATCCTACACACTAGAAACCATTCAAAGTACATTCTCAGATCATGTATTAAACAAGAAATTGGTAATAGAGTAGCAGGGATGGCTTAGTGGGTCAGAGTACTTGCTGTGCAAGCTACAGGACGTGAGTTTGAATCCCTGATACTTACCTAAAGCTGAGTCTGGCCATGCTTACCTTTAGCCCTGGTGCCTGGGCTTGGAGGGGCTAGACAAATCCTTAGAATTCATTGGCTAGACAGCCTAGCTGAACTGGTGAGCTCCAGGTTCAGGGAGAGATCTGTCTCAAAACAATAGTAGAGAAAGAAAGAGGAAGACATCCATTGTCTTCCACTGACTTCTGCATGCATACTTAAAGACACATGCACCTATATGTGCGTGTGCACACATACCACACACACACACACACACACACACAATTAGAATAAACAACAGAAAGGTGAGAAAAATCCAATAACATTTGCCAATTAAACAAAAAACTTCTAAATAACACAAGTTGAATATGTACAATTATATGAAAGCATGCACATGAATGTTTATATAAACTCTATTCCTAATTATCCAAAACTTTAGGCAACCATGAACCCATCAGTAGGTGAATGGATAAACAAAATGTGATGTATCCATACAGTGAGATAGTAGTTCCCAATAGAAGGAATAAATGTATGGGCTACAAAGTTCTATGACATTGTAGAAAATGGGAAATGGTAGAGATGGTAAAGATCACTGGTGGTCAGGGTTCTAGACAAGGAAAGAGTAACTAGGTAAAACAAGTTGTTGGAACAGTGGAACTATTCTGTGTGGTGCTGTAGTTATGTGAACATGACATTATCATACACATTTGTCAAAGCCATAGAAGTAGACAATACGGAATGGACATGAACTGTGGACTGTGGATAAAATAACATGTCAGTATTAGTCTGTTCATTGCAACAGTGTTCCACTGCCTCAGTACTGTCATATAATAAGGAAGATGGAGGCTGGTGCCAGTGGTTCAGACTTAAGGGAGCTCTATTAACTGTGACTCTAGAGCTTCCAAAGGAATCTAGCATGTTAGAAGCTTTGTCCATGTGAACGGTCGGGTCAAAGATCAAAGTGGAATAGTTTAAGCAGACTTTATTAGAACAGAAATATTGCAAAGGTAGTACAGAGTTCCACACACTGCACATCCCCCACCCAGCTCCAGCTTCCGCCACCTCATATGAGAATATTGCATCAGTTGGGATTATAAACCAGTTCATCATTAACTAAGGCCCATGGGTTTGGGTTTTTGGTTTTTCTTTAGTTTTTGCCTCATCTATTTTCTATTCTAGAATAGTACTTTACATTGGATTTTCATCTTTCAGAACTTTGTTGTCGTAGACTTAGCTATGACAGTCTCAAAGACTTTACTTATTTTGATAATCTTGACAGATTAGTTTTGAAGAACACTGTTGGGGATGTCTGGGGTTTTTGTTGTTGTTGTTTTCAAGATTCAACTAAAGGCAAACATGATTGAGCTTATCTGTAATCCCAGAAGTTCAGGAGCCAAGGCAGGAGGACTGTCACATTCAAGACATCCCTGAACTATACAACAAGTTCCAACCAGCCTGGGCAACGTATAGCAAGAACCAATCTCTAAAAACAGCAACAGCAAAATTAGACTAGGCTTTGTGCTTTTGGGGTGGGGGTGGGGAAGAACGTGCATTTTTATCACCTGTGACAAGCACGGCACCTTCCTGGCTTACCACAGCAGGGTTTGTGGCACGCTCCTCTGCTGTAAAGTTACTCTTCTTCTCCCTCTCATGTAGTCATCTTTGAAAGGAATCACGTGAATCTCTCAGTAGGTTCCACCTGCCTGGGAGCAGAGCATGCCCAGAATTGTTTGCAGTCCTGCTGGGGATGTCTGTGCTTTTCTCTCGTTCACTTTTTTAAAACTTGTTTGCTATTCTTGTCAGTGTAGAGTCATGCGCAGTTATTTTGTACCTTGGGTTGCACAGTATTGAATTTTGTTCAAGCTTTTCCAGCTTTGCACTCAGGCTCTGCGTTGACTCCAGGGTCCCTTTGAGACAGCTCAGCCATTGTGCATTTTGTTTACCAGTTTGCTGTTCATCATTTTCTTTCTTCCTGGCTGAACCAGATGATTCAGGCTCATGCTTTACATCTGTGACCTCATCCATGAGGTGAGGTGGCCACATGTCCAAAGAAGCCTTCTCCTTTCACTGGGAATGACTACAGACGTCATGAGCTGAGGATGAGGCGCTACACATGTTTAAATGCCACAAGTCCTCTTGACATGAATTCCACACAGAATCTTCTGGAAAATTTGGTTTAAGTCTAAAATCTATGACCTTCAAGGATTATTATATAAAAGAGTATATTCAAAGATAGTATGACTGTCAAGACTCTGAATTCTCACCAAACTGTCCTCGTTACCCAAGGGAGAGGCTTGTATCTAGTGGTACTAAATCTGTAGCTGTTTAGACTCCTCATACCCTGCTGGCCACAGGCAGCTCTCTCCCAGCTTGCAGAGTGTGTGATTCAGAAGGGACCTTGA